TGGGTAAAGTAACAAAAAGTAAATAAATAAATAAATAAATAAATAAATGACAAATGTTATTTAGTGGCTGCAATTTGAAACCATGAGATGATGCCTCCTTCTGCCTCCTGAGAAGTAGGAAGAGCAGGAAGGCAGAGAAGCTGTGTCAGCTGTCAATCACAATGCGCTGGTGCTACTGTGGTAAAGACAAAATAAAATAAAACAGTGCAGAAAAATGGATTTGAWTTATGCAGAATGTAATGGAAATTATATCAAAGAAACAAAAATGCAGCTAAACAAAGACTGGGAAATGGGTGAGGTCAGTGAAAGGTGATATTCATGAAGAAACTTGCCAAAGTTAATTTTCATGTTTTCATGAAAGGAAGCAAAACTGGAAGCAATGCAAACTGTTGATTCACGCAAGAAACTCACAGCTCAGAAAGCTGCCTGTCACATGCACATCAGCCCTGTTTATAAATTTACTACATCATTGTTTAAGCCACAGTGTTCAAATGTGTGAAAAAAAGTAGCAGCTTATACTCCAGAAATAACATAACATTTCTCAGGGTAGTCTGTTTTGCTACAGACTCAATATGCTCTAACAGCGATATAAGGGTATACATTTTAAGTACAATCTCAGGTACAGTTCACCTCAAACACTAGTTGTAAGTCACTTTTCTAACTTTCAATGAGTGCTGTATATCATATAAAATTTTTTACGTTTTGTTGTTCCTAATAGAAAAAAAAGCACTTTAAAGGGCTTGAAAATGTTGGTATGCCTCTGGATTTTCCTAAGAAGACTTTGTGTCACTGGCACTCGCTAACACGTCATTGCCATCAGCAAGTGTTGGCAGGTATACCAGTGGTACATATGATATTTTGGTTGAGGACGACAGACTGAAACATTGTCGCCTGCCGTTGCCTTTCAGTGGCAGGCAATCATGTCTCCAGAAAAATGTAGGCCACTGTGAACAATTAATGATATTCAGTTGAGGCCAGTGGCTGATAACATTATGATTAGGGGCCAATAACAGCCTTGATTCCACATACTTGTACATACAAATAAAAGGTAATGTACATAGGATGAATGTAATTACTTTCCTGTAGGTTTTTCAGTAACAGTTAGGTGTACTGGCATCTGGAAGTCTCCTTTGACACAATAATACCAACCACTGCTCTCTGCCCTCAGTTCACTCAGTCACACTGAATACATTTCCAATGCTCGTGTTCAAGTGTACTCTTGTTCCATCTGTTAATCCTTATTCTTTTGTCACACATTCCTTTCCCACTTTACACCATTTCATCTCTCCAGAGGTAGTGTAGTAACAGTTTATGGTTATATTTTCCCCAGTAAATCCTGTCTCTGCCTAATTATCCACATACAGACTGGGTGTATCTTGATGGCGAAAAAGCAGAACAACAAACTATTGGCATCATTTACCTATCTGGATTCTCACAGATCTTGTTGTGGTGCAACAACAGTCTCAGCTTATAACAAAGTGTGTATGATCCAGGATTTGAACCCATGTTTTTAAGTTATACCTTTATTTATTGAGCTGGCAAATAAAATGAACAGTGAACTTATCAGTGCTAAGATTTTTTTGTATTAAAACATCCTTGGATTAAAAATGACCTCAAAAAACCAAGTAAAAATTTACACACTAACTAGAAACCATAGCACTAACCTGCATGAAGCCATACCAGACTACCTTAAATCCCACACCTTCACAGGTACAGCCATTTAATGTCAGTCAAGATACAAACAGGCAGAACAGCGCTCACTGACAATACACAGTACAGCTGTGTTACACTTGTCATCTGTCATGTTTTTTTGAATATTTTTATTGCATTATGTGTGTGTTTTTAACCATGAACCCCAGGAAGAGTAGCTGGGTGGAAGCTCAACAGCATCCTAAAGAATAAACAGGAATCACACAAACATCTACATGTAAAATCAAAACGCTATTTAAAAATACTTTTTTTTACCTGGGGTAATTGACAGATGAAAGTAACTTCCATCATCAACAACTTGATAAATATCCACAGCACACCAATAATGAGCATCTTGATCTGTCAGCTGTTTTATAGTCACAGTGAAAATTAATAGATTTTTATCATCAGCAATTGAGTACTTTCTGGTATCATGTTGTGAGTTTGTTGCAACTGATTTCAAGCAGGAATTCCAACTGTATCCTTCACATAAATATTTCACAAGATTTCTGTATTGTTGGCTGTACAAACAGGGAATCGAGATTGAAGCTCCAGCCTTCACTGATACTTTACTGACTGTACGTATGCTGTTAATTCCTGTGAAATAAACACAATATATGTTTCAGAGTTAATGCCAAGGAAGTGCATTTTGTCATATTTTGTCAGCTTCCTATGATAAACACCTAACTCACTTTCTGTGGATACACAGAAAACTCAACTAACACCATGATATTTGTTTTTCATGAAAAACTTGAAAAAACAAGCTAGGCGATTATTTTAGGAAGGTGATGAATTCACACTTTCAGAAAACATGAAATGAAACCCTTGTTGTTTTGTGCAAAAAGTGATGAAACTTAATTTTAGCCTAATAGCACAAAGAAAAKAAAATGCCTGAATATTATGAGCACAGAGTGACTGACCTGTTATCAATGTTAGAATGAGAGGAACAATCAGAGGAACAGCCATTTTGGTGTGTGAKCAGTAATAAGAAGAACTGAGGCACTGCAGAACTGACTCTCTCCTTCCTGTTGTTTTTTTTAAAGATGTTAGCGCCTCATGGTTTATAAAAGGCAACCCTCTAACTTCAATCTACTGTTATTTCCTGTTTGTTTGATGTCTCGTTCATGTCCTCAAAGCCCAGGTCAACAAACAACACAGAAAACCTGTAATACTTCACTTTGACCAATTGTGTATTTTCATAGCAATAAAGGAGAGAAAAAATGTGTTGTTACGACTCAGCATTTCAACCAAAGCAGAACTCTCGTTGTTTGAGAAGTGCTTAAGATGTTTCTTATTACCTAACGTTGAACCAACATTTTGCAATAAACAGGAAGCACTGTTAATCAAAAGTGATGYTTTGACATTAGTTAGAGCAGTGGTTCCCAAATTTTTTATCTTCTGACCCACAAAATATCCATGGCAAAAACGTGTGACCCCAAATATTACTGGTCTGAGTACACAAATGTCATTAATAACCCTAAAAACACAGGCTTTTTGACAATCTAAACAGCTTGTACACAAATATAAATACTTATTTTTACTTATTTTGTGTCCTTGTAATAATTATAGGGAAAATATTACATCAGAAATTATTTTATTACCCTTTAAATTGATTTCTGGAGATTATCCAAGGTGCTTCATGACCCTTAATTGGGTCCCAAGCCCAACTTTGGGAACAAAAGTGCAGTGGTTCACAAACCTTTCAGCTTTTGACCCACAAAATAACAGTAGCAGAGACCTGTGCCCCCAACTATTTTTGGATGATAAACATTTTTATCAGGTCAATAAAACATGGGCATAGTAACAATATTTTTATACTACATTTATCCATTTTAAATAAACTAACCTCACTCCTTTGTAACAACTAAGGCAAAAATGAAATTAATTCCAAAAATGTTTTCAGGA